GTTATGGCCGTTCTCGTCTCCCGGGCTGCCCCGACGCGAACTAAGTTGCTCGCCTTCGACCGATGGTCTTTCCCGAGCGACTCGCAGCCGGGCCCAAGGCGCGACATGGTCCACAGACCGAGCGCCGCGCCAAGTCTTGGAACCGCTGCATCGCGCGTCCGAGCCCGGAGCGAGGCAAAGCCGTGACGTCAAAACTTCACGGCTTCGCTGCTCTTTGAGCTGGTTAACTTTAGCTTAGCCGGCAGTGCCGCGGCGCCTGGCGCGGTGGCTGTCGGCGTCGTCGCCGGCGTCGGACGGCGTCGTCGCACGCAGCGACGCATGCGCCGCGCCGAAACGGACGAGCACACACCGACTGCCCAAAGAGAGAGAGAATCGCGGTGCGGGATTTACCGAGAGGGGAAGAGCCGCGCGATCGGGGCTCGCGCCGGCCGGCGCCGGCGCTTCGGGGGACGTGTTTTTTTCTCGCTGGAGCGAAGCAGCACTTGCACCGCGCCTATTGGAGCGTGAGCTTGCCCGTCTCGAGGTCGACGGAGAAGCCCGACGACATGTCGTCGGCGTCGCCGACGTCGGCCTCCGCGAGCACGTCCTTCCAGTTGAAGGAGTCCTTGTTCTCCCAGATGTCGTCTCCCGGGTCCATGCGGCGCGGCTTGCGCTGGCCGCCGCCCGCGGCGTCGGGGTTCCGCGCGCGGCGCGCGGCGGCGGACTCGCCGCCCGCGTCGTCGCGGCCCGGCCGCGGCGGCGCCGTGGGGTCGCGGTACGTGTTCATGGCGAGGCCCAGCGTGGCCTTGTCGAGGTCGACGTCGATGATGCGCACCTTGACCTCGTCGCCGACGGAGAGCTCGGCCTGGAGGTCCTCGACGCGGCTGTCGGAGACGCGCGAGATGTGCACGAGGCCGTCGACGCCCGGGGCGATGTTCACGAAGGCGCCCCACTCGAGGACCGTGCGCACGGTGCCGGAGATGAACTCGGCGGGGTCCGCGTCCTGGTACTTGCGGAGCTCCTCGGCGCCCGCCTTCTTCTGGCGCCCGCCGCCGCCGCGCTTCTTCGGGGGCGCCTCGGCGCCCTCGGGCTTCATGGAGAGCGACAGCTGCTTCTTGCCGCTGTCGATCTTGAGGATGCGCACCGTGACGTCGTCGCCCTCCTTGACGACGGACGCGACGTCGTCGACGTAGCTCGCCGAGAGCTCCGAGATGTGCACGAGGCCGTCGGACTGGGCGCCGATGTCGACGAACGCGCCGTAAGCGGCGAGGCCCGTGATTTTACCAGCGTACTCGTTGCCCTCGACGAGGTCAGCGAGCGGCGTCGCCTTGGACTTGTCCGCGCGCTTCGGCTTCTCCTCGGCGACCTCCGCGACGACGGGCTCGGCGGCGACGCCCTCTTCGGCGCGGAGGACATGCGCGCGCACGGGCGCCGTCCGTGCGACGAACGCGGTGGCCGTGGTGGCCGCTAAGGCAATGATGGCGTGCTTCATGAGTCCCATTGCGCTCTTCGCCGCCTCGTCGTACGACACACAGCTTCAACAGCCCTGGCGGGGTTGATGCGCGAGGGCTTGCGCGCGCGCTGTTGAGCAGGCAAGCGCGCGAGCTCCGAGCCTACTCCGCGAGGCGTTCCGCGGGCTCCGGCTGGAGTGCGCAAGTGTCCTCCAATATCTCGAGCAGCGCCCCCAGTAGCCCTGACGATCCAGCCGGCGCCGTGCTTGGCCGCGAGCTCCTTCGTGCGCGCGCGGCTCGAGGGGCTGCGGAGCGACATTGATGATCTTGGGGTGGTCCATGATGGCGCGGCATACCTTACACGACTTCATGTGGGTGCCGTCCACGCACCATTCCCCTCCCACGACCCTCGACTCGTATACCACGCTGTAGCCGCCGGACCTGTGGTAGAGCCTTACCGTAGAGGGCCACCACCGCGCACGTGACGAGCGCAGGGAAGTGGGCTATGATACTCGAGGCAGGATGTCTAAGAACTTCGGAAGGTGGTCCAGGACCTGCACTTGATCCTGGTTGCGCAGGGAAAGCAAAATTTGTTCGAAAAAGCCGACGATGCTATTACCTACGGCTGTGTTGGCGCCTTCGTTATTCCTGGTAAGGACCAGCTTAAACGAAGCAGCCCCAGCCGGGTCCAAGAACCGCCGCCACCGGCGGCAGGCATGCGCAGGAAAGCTCGAAGAAGTCGCGCCGTGAAGAGCCCAGGCCGAAGGTGCATCGGATCCGGACATCGCCAGCCGAGCTCTACTTTGCGAGTCGACCGAGAGCGTCGCCTGTCGACGCCCGTCAGCGCCTTCGCAGCGCACGAACCCGAGGAAAACACACACGCACGGCACGCCACCATGGTTAAGAAAGCCATCAAAGGCAAGAAGGTCGATCTCAGTAATCTCGTGGCGAACAACAAGAGCCACATCCCCGACCGCCCGGTGGAGCGCGCCGAGGGCGAGTCCGGCTTCTTCCGCCGCGACTACCAGGACCGCGACCGCCCGACGTACCGCAGCGAGGGCGACGACAACTGGCGCGGCGGCGGCGGCGGCGGCGGCGGCGGCTTCGGCGGCGGCGGCGGCGGCGGCTTCGGCGGCGGCGGCGGCGGCGGCTTCGGCGGCGGCGGCGGCGGCGGCTTCGGCGGCGGCGGCGGCGGCGGCTACGGCGACCGCGGCGGCGACCGCGGCGGCTTCGGCGGCGACCGCGGCGGCGGCTTCGGCGGCGGCGGCGGCGGCTTCGGCGACCGGGGCGGCGGCGACCGCGGCGGCTTCGGCGGCGGCGGCGGCTACGGCGACCGCGGCGGCGGCGGCGGCTACGGCGG